AGCAAAAGATCCAGCCATTTCAGTAAAATCGGCAATTCCAAAAGAATATTTTTGTTGCTGATTTCTTTGAAGAATCCAATGAAGAATACCTATATATTCCTCTCCAATTTTGACTTGAGGGTTTTGCATTAAATCTTAAATTTATTTTTATAATTTTTCCCAAAGTTGAAAAAATTTTTTGAAAACCCCAATTTTGGGAGCGGACTTATTTTTGTCTTTTTTTTAAATTCAAGTTTAAGCTTTTTAAACAAATATTTAGACCTCTAAGAAGGCAAAATTAAAAAAACACAGATGCCACTATAGTTCACAATTTTTTCGTGATTCAAATCGTTACTAAATCTCATACCTTCAAAAATCCCAACGACATATTCTATTGACCCAGTAAATTCATTATAAGATTTCCGTAATCCTTCGTTTTCAATTTTTTCCTGATCGAAACGTTCAGAATCTATATACATTTTAATAATTTGTAAATCGTTCGGCATTGGGTCAATCTCTACGGGAATACCGTCTCCTCTGCTATAAACAATCATGTCCTATAAAATTAATATTAATTCCTTGTAAGACCCCAATCTCATGATAGATAGGGAGGGCGGCTATTATCTACATTACCCTCCACTTACAAATTCTTCAAGTTGGTTAATCCCAATCAAAGCAAAAATATCTTTATTTAAATAACTCACCACAATGTAATGTTCAGATAAAGCTTTTGCAAGCATTAACTAAAAATTTTAATTATTATTAAGTAGTGTTTCACCGGAACCGAAATTTTGACCGGAAACGGAACCGGATCCAATTTGAGTTCCGGATCTCGGAATCGGAACTTTTTTTTCTGGATCATACAAAAAGATCCTTAAGATTAATTAGAAATAATTTATTTCAAAAACGCAAAGTCCGAGAGTTTGCTTTTTAACTGAAATTCCTCCTCAGTTATACATAAAATAGCAAAAATATGGTCATTTGGGATTGCTCCGGCAACGGGGAGATTCATAAATTCTTCTGTAAATTCCTCATAAATTTTTATAACTGTCTTGACTAGAAACTCAGTAATTTTGCTTGAAGAGAAATGTCCCGTAAAAAAATAATTTCTGGATGTAATTCTCGATACACTTATGTTAAGATTAGAATTGAAAAAATTTTTACATGTAATTGAACATGAGAGAAGAAAGCGTTAGCACAAATATACAAAGCTCTTTTCTTTGGAATTATTGAAGAACTTTCAGGAATATCTTCTTCTTCTCCTTCTTCAAAATGTTCTTGCGGATCTGTATTTACTCCATAATATTCTCCATATTCCCCCTCATAGTCAAAACATTCACAATAATTATCTGCTCTTTTATGCCGACGTTTAGATAATTTTTCTTTTTCATTTTTATTATTAAAACATTTGCACTTCTTTCCAACAGAAATGTTGATAATAATTAACAAAAAGAAAATGTAAAAAATTAATTTTAAATAATACATTTTCTAAATTAAGAAATATTTATTTAGGCTAAGGATAATTTACCTAAATGTACACTTTTTTAAAATTGGTCACGTAAATCCCACAAAGGATGCCAACACGACGGGTTCGCCCCAATGTACTCTTTATTCAAAATTATTGAATCCGGGACGCCCTGGTATGTTTCGATTCAGCTCGTCGAGCCGAATTGAAACAGTCCACTTAGAACCAGTCCACTTTAAACCTGATAACATGCCACCTGATACCACTGGATGCCTAATCATTTTTCATCAACAGATAATTGTATTGGAGGGATATCAAGAAGATCTAGCAGGGTGTTTCATCGCCGTGTTTGGCTGATTTATTTATTTATTATTTTTTACAAAAATTTGCGGACAAACATTTATGAAAGTTGTGGGGAGATAATGCGAAAGTACCGAAAAGACTTCCAAACGATTCAAACAATTAATAGAAATACAATAAAAACTTTTTTTATTTAAATAATAAAAATATTTATATTTTAATAATGTCAAAGCTATAAGATTTTTTGGGTAAATAGGCAAGCAATTAAGTAAATGAGGAGGCAGCGACAAGCAATACCTCCCTTCTAAATTTTTTTATAGTTAACAAGTCGATATTTTAATTTAAATTTTAAGTTGCGCACATAATTAAAATTGCAGAAAAACTTAAATATTAACTTAACGGTTTTCCTTGATTAATACCCGATGGAATTAATATTTCAACTTATTAATGGATATTATCGGGGATTATTATTTCAATCCAGTCCTGAACTTAAAAAACAGCGTGAAGTTTGAATGTTATGTTTGGCCCCCTTTCTCTAAGCATATACGATAATATACATAGTATATAGGTACCGTATTTGTTCAATTAATTCCCCTCCCTCGAATAATTCCCCCTCTCGATTAATTCCCCATGCTAAGGAAAGGTTGAAAAAATAATTTCTCAGGGGAATTAATCGAGAAAATACGGTATTTATAAAACATGGATATATTCACAGCATGGAACCATATAAATCCGCATGGTGGTACTTTATATATTTTTATAATTAATTTTTTTCATTTTGTTTAACATCCAATATTATTTTAATTTGGTGGGTAATTTTCGGGGTAGGCATAATTTTAAAAGTTTTTTTATAAAAAAATTTTTTGAATAAAATTTCTATTATTTTTTAAGATTTCTATTACTTATTAAGCAACTCATTTAATTAAAAAAATTCAAAGGAATTAATATTGTATAAATTTAAAAAGAATTTTTAATTGCGGATAATCCGCAAATCTGAAGTAAATTATCGATATTCTGCATTCTCTCCCTCCCTCTCTCTCTCTCGCTCCCTAGCAATTTGACGATAGCTAAAAAAAATATTTATTAAAAATTAATCGATAAATCGACAAATAAAAAATTAAAAAAAATTTTTAAATAGAATTCTTAATAAAATGTTAAAAAATATAAAGAGACTTTCTATGTTTTAGAAAATGTTTAGACTTTCTATGTTCCTTAAGAAAGAGGACTGGGCCCGACTCCTCAGTTTTGAAAGTTTCGGGTAGAATAATAAATGAATAAAATTTCCAGTAGAATTTTAAGCTAATTTTAAGATTATTAATTGAATCCATAAAAAATGAAAGTTTTGTCTTAAGCAGACATTTGAATGGTTATTAACATTCAAATAAATAAATTTAAAAAATTACACGTAAAGATAAAAAATTTAAATTAATACAGGTCTTATTGTTTGTTATATGTCCCTTAACAATTTTGAAATTTCGAAATTTTTATTTACTTACATGTTTAATAGTGGGATTTAGAGGAAATAGTGGGATCTGACGAGATTAACAGGTAATAAGTGTATTTTCCATCAATTCCACCAACTCTCCTAAATCCCTCCAAATCTCTCGCTATTCTTTTTAATCACTACAAATCCCTAGATTTTAAGTTAAAGAAAAATTTTTTTAATCAATAATAATAAAAAAATTAATTTTCGTCTCGTTTAAATTTTTGTTTAATTAGCTGTTAGAATAGATTTTTTAATTCAAATAAAATAATTTGCTTATTAACTTAAATTTTCTCTCCCAGTAAGTCTCGAAGTTAACTAAATTGATTAAATCCAATCATCCAAGTTAACTTAACTTTCTCCCATTTAATTTTTGTTTAGAAAATTTGTTTGCTTAGCTGAAATTTTTTAAAAGCCAACGAATTCTGCTTTACCAAAATCTTTCCCAAAATTTTTTTAAATTTAATATATAGACTATTTTGCCAATAAATTTTTTTATATTTAATGAAATAAAAAATAATTTTAAAATCTTAATATACTACATATTGTGGGATAATACACACAAAACATTGGCAACGTAAAGCAGAGCTGGTGACAACTCCTTTTTTGGTTGTTTCTGTGGCGGTAATTATTCACACAAAACTACAATTTAGTACTTTTTCTCACTCTTATTCTTACTTTTCTCATTTTATTTTTCCACTTAATTTCTTCCTATCGACATCCATTCATGCACAATATTTATAATAAATTTATTTAAATTTTTACAAGCTAATAACGAGCAAATTTGCTTCAAACTAGGGTAGCTTCCTGTCCCCAGACTCCGCGCTTTTTTTGAAAAAACCACGACCTGAACCCCGAAGGCTCTATCCCGACAAACGCCGATCCCCGACACATCCGACCCCAAAGGCTCGACGAGCTATCCTATTCAAACATACAACCATCATTCATAAATTTCCTTCAAAATTGGCAAAACATTTTTGGGGTTTTAATTTTTAAGGCATAAGCCCATACCAAATTTTTACAGGTCAACCTGCATTTGGGATGGGCACAAGCCCATCCCAAATTTTTACGCGAACTTCTATTAAATTTCTTTAAATTAAATATTTTTTTCTTTATTTTTATTAATCATTAAATAAAAATAAATGCAGATTGTCCAGAAAGTAGCAGGGCTCTTTATCTATGGTTAAATTTATTCAAATTAAAGTTAAAGGACCAAATAAAGCCTATTTGATCGAGAATAAACAAGGAATCGAACTAATTAAAAATTTTCTATATACATTTTTCGGGTCTGGAAACTTGATTTTGTATTAGGGATATCAGGGGGATATATCACTCCCAGAAGGAGATAGGAGAAAAAGTTACGACGTTAATAATGGATTAAATTCAATCATTCGTCTCCACGTTATGTTTACTAATAATTTTCGAGTATCTCTTTAATTTTTTTTAGAAAATTTGTTTATTTAGCTGATAATAATTTTTTAAAACTAAAAAGAAAATTAAATTCTGCTATACGAGAATCATTCATATTAATTTAAATTTAATATACAAACAATCTTGCAAAAAAAATTTTTTTATATTTAACGAAATTAAAAAAAATTTTCTAGAAAAATTTATTTTTATTTAAAAAATGGAAAGAAACTGCATTAGACAATGCAAAGTTTGTGGGGCAAAAGAAAATGTTTGTTTTCATTATGGAGTTAGTACATGTAGGGCTTGCGGGGCTTTTTTCAGGTATTTCTTAATAAAATTTCAAAAAATTTTTTTCAAAAGGCGTTATATTGAAAGAGGAGAAGTATCCACATTTAAATGTAAATGTTGGGAAAAACAATTTTTAAAAGAGAATAAAGACGGGAAATCTCAAACAAAAGTGGCAAAATGTAAAAAATGTAGACTTGAAAAATGTCTCTCTGTTGGAATGAAAAGATTGAGTTTGTTAAAAAAATAATTTTTTGAAAGAGTACCTATTTTAGATGTCGTGTATTTACGGCAAGATATAAACCTGGAAGCAATAGAAGAACAAAAAAACGAAATTACCGTAAGTTTAATTTAGAGGGGGTGGTAATTTTAGTTGGTATCACGGATTTAGAGGATTAAAGGTATTTAACGAGATTCCTTGGGATTACAGAGAATCATCATGGAATTTTGAGGGATCTTGGAGAGTTAAAGAGGTACCATTGCAATACAAGGATGTCAGGTGAGTTGGGTGAATATATCAGTGGATATTCAGTCCGATATGGAGTTAAAGTTTTCTGAGTCGCTCCAAGATGAAAGATAATCGGTATAAGAAAATCGGCCGCTGGCAAAAAATTTTGAAAATCTTGGAAGGCAAAGGAATCAGCTTTCGTCCAATTTTGTCCTCAGATCAGTGTGTAAATATTCGGGTGATGGAGGTCAAGAAAGAGAAGCAAAGGAGAGAATGCAGCGAAAAATGATTTTTGCAGAAATTCATTTGAGGAGATGAGGGTCGCGAGCTGGGCATTAACAGTCGAGTTATAAATTTCCAGCTAATGTAAACGAGCAAAATAAAAAAAATTTTTAATGTGGCTAGACAAATTCTGATCATCTCTACCCTTTTTAGCCTCCAAATCCTTCATTTGTCGACATAATTATGAAAGATCTACAACAAATCAACTCAATTTTACCAATCATCGAGGCTAAAAAACGTATTATGCATGCATTTAATGATTTGGATGATATATTCCTTAAAGGCCCGATTTTGTTTGAAGAAATAATTTTATCTGATTTTAATATTTTCCGTTTAGTTGATACTTTCTCGGTAAATTTTAATTCAATTTTTAATAAAAATTTTGTTTTAAGCCGAATCCGAGTCCAATACCTCTTGATGAAGTAGAAAGTTGGGAAACTTCATTGCAAACTGAGGGAATGCTTAACAATCGTTATCATAAATATTTGTTAGTTGACCGACTTTTGTGTGTTGGTATAGCTAAATCTATGCCTGTTTTTGAAAAATTGACTTTATCTGATCAGGTGTTTTATGTAAACCTTATTTAGTTTAAGTAATTTTAATAAGCTTGTTAATGTCAAGATTGACAAACTTTTCCGAATTTTTCACCAATGGCTGCGGCAAATACTCCTAACTTTCGTTAAATATTCAATACATCGGCTAATTTAAATCCAGGGTTACCTCTGAACTAAAAATTGCGGTAGGAAGTAAAATAGTCTTTCGGCAACAGGGCTGTGCGCCAAAATTTTCGCGTGCAACGCCAACCGCCAATTTTTCAAATTTTAAAAACACGCCAAACGCAAAATGCCAAAAATCGGCCAAATATGTACGCCAAACGGTTGGGGTCAGTTGAGCGTGGCCGGTTGAGCGTGAGCCGACCTTTGAACGGCTATAACTTTTTGCTGCTTGATCCAATACGAATGAATCATATATCATTCGAAAGCCCTCGATAAACGCTATCTTTTTTCCAATTTGATGGATCAAGTCTTATCGCTATTTAAAAAGTTACAAGTCGATAAGTGCAGAAAATCGTTGTTTTTCACTCTTATCGACTTGTAACTTTTTAAGTAGCGATCAGACTTGATCCATCAAATTGGAAAAAAGATTGGACTCATCGAGGGCTTTCGAATGATATAAAATTTATTCGGATTTGATCAAGCTTAAAAAAGTTATAGCCGATCAAATTCGGCTGACGCTCAACCGGCCACGCTCAACTGGCCCGTTCCGACGCCAAACGCCAAGACGCTCAGCCCTGTTCGGAAATTTCAATTTATCCTCATGTAAAAACTCATTCATCGCAACCATGATGAATACCGTATTATCTCTAATAGAATGGTTCCCTGGAGGATGAGCGAAAAATAGAATGGCCGGCCATTCTATTAAAGATAATACGGTAAGCTATTTTTATATTTATTAAAATTTGGCTAAATTTATGAAAAATCGCAAAATTTTGTTAAAAATATGTAAAAATATTTAAATAATTTACAAAAAATGCGGACATGGATAAGGTTTTTTCAAAATTGGACGGATACGGATATAATTTCTTTCGCCTACGAGTATTGTTTAGACCACCTCGATTGCTGTCAAGTTTTAAAGATCATTTTTAAATAATAGATTGCACATCTAAGGCAGATTTGTCATTTGTTTATTTCATTTACAAGCACCTACCTAGCTTGGGAATTAGGCTCTGAAACTTGGACACTTAAAGATAATATTATGCCTGCTTATGGTTTAATGAAGAATACTGTATTCTTAAATGATGATAAGTAAATATTTTTAAAAATTATTTTACTAAAAATTTCAAAAAAAAAATTTTATTTTCAATTTTTAGAATGATTAAATGGTCAGAATTTGCATTTACAAAATCTGTTGCCCATTTTAAGTGTGCTTCATTAACAAAAGTTGAATTTGCTTTGTTAATAGCTATTATCCTTTCGAAATCAGGTAAACACTTTAAATTGTGGTGTTGTGGCTTTTAATGAATAGTAATGAGAAATTCGGAATTGCACGATGCATACTAAGTTAGCATACCAGGGATCTAGCCGTCCCGATTCCCGAAAATCGGGAATTGAATTTTTATGTCCGCTAGATCCCTGATGCTTACGTACCTCGTACTATATGCCTCGTACTTTCTATACCTCGTCTTTCTCGTATTTAGGAAAAAAACAAAAATCTCAAATTTTTTCTGTTGTTGCACACCTAAGGCACATCAAATTTTTTTCTGATTTAAGACACCACCATTTAAAATTTTTTGTACTGCTGGCTATTTTTTCAACCTTCTAATATTCAAAAACTAATGGAAATTTTTTGGATTTTTAAACATAAGAAGCTAGTTTCCCTCCTTTTTCAGCGCCGTAGCGAAAACTTTAATTTTTTTCATATAAAGATGCTAAAAACTTGTCTCCCGAAGGAAAAGAATTACTTTATGACGAATCTATTAAATACACAAAAATTTTACTTCGATATAATCAACGAAGATTAGGTCTAATTGAAGGGGCTCAAAGACTGGATGAATGTTTTCGTTTAATTAATCGAAGTATTGAAAATGAATTTACTTTGGGGTTAATGCTTTCTCACCAACTTAAATATTATTCAACGAGTAAAGATTACTTTAAATGTTCAAACTTTATGGCAAAATTTTTTGAAAGAAGTGATTAAAAATGAATAATTTTTATTTAAAAAAAATATGGGCTCTATATGAAACGAGATTGGGAATCGTTTTTTCATCTTTCCTATCTTAATATGACAATTGTCAGCATTTTCTTTCTTGTTCAATTATATTTGAATAAATTTCAATTACCTATATGTATTTCAATTATACCTTGTTCATTTATAGTTCAAATATATCCTTTTTTGGGTACAGCCCAAAACGGCGCGCGGCCATAACGGCGCAAAGTCATAACATAGTGAAAAATGCTTGATCGGACAATCCGTCAGTGGACAATCCGGCAGTGGAAAATCCGTCAGTGGACAATGCGTCAGTGGTCGGACAATCCGTCAGTGGACAATCCGTCAGTGAAAAAATTCGTAATTTCTACCCATACCAAAACTACCGCGGCCAAAAATTTTCATTTTTTCGTGTGAAGGATTATAAGAGATATCGAAAATTTGGAAAAATAAGGAAATCGGCAGATTTAGCTGGATTAAAAGGATATCAGCGGATTTGAAAGATATTGGGCAATTTGGTTCAATAAGCGAATGTCGATGAATATAGAAGGGTATAGTGGATTTGGATGGATTAGATTTACATGATTAACATATGGGAGTATATTGGATTTGGATGAATATCGTGGGAGGGACTTTGGAAAATCTATGAATAAGAGAGATTGTTTTCAAATGTGTATCGTGGAACCACCTACAAATCCTCTTAATCCGGCTATATCCCTTGATATCCCACTTAATCCCCGAAATCCATTTTAATCTCTCAAATTCCTCGAAAGCCACCATAATACTACAAATTTCTTTTATTCCCCGGAATCCCACAATATCTTTGAAATCCCCGATATTTTTTAAATCCACTGATATCCTTTTAATCCAGCTAAATCTGCCGATTTTCTTATTTTTCCAAATTTTCGATATCTCTTATAATCTTTCACACGAAAGAATGAAAAATAATTGGCTGCGGGAGTTTGGGTATGGCCAGAAATTACAAATTTATTCACTGACGGATTGTCCACTGACGGATTGTCCGACCACTGACGCATTGTCCACTGACGGATTTTCCACTGCCGGATTGTCCACTGACGGATTGTCCGGGAGCCGAAAAATGTCTGGCTCTTGTCAATTTTGCTACCAATCTCACTGTCTCGATGAGAGGAATCGTTTGATACTAAATCTGGTAAGATAAGGAAATCATGAAGCAAGTTATGGTTTTGCGCCGTTATGGCCGCGCGCCGTTTTGGGCGTGTCAATCTAGTATAATTATTTAGCGGAAGACCGAAACAATAATTACCAGGGGTAGTTATGAAATGATATACGGTATTTGTATATAAATAAATAAATAATAAATTCTAATTTTATTTACAAACTACAAAATTTGAACATTTTTTAATCATAATTACTATTGACTAATTTAATTTAAAAAATTTAGAAAAAAATACATTTTACAATTTTTATAATTTATAAGAGAAGAAGGCATGACGAATTTGTTTGTAGTTTTTCTGAGGAAAAACTTGAACTACAAATTTAAATTTTAGAATAATAAATTAGAGAGGAGAGCCTGCCGCATTATCCGAAGAAATAAAAAATTTTAAAATATGAAATTTAAAAAATCCAAAACCCATTTTTTTCCAAGACCCATTTGTTTACTTCATAAATTCACTGAACACCAATAACTTCTACAATCTTTTGAAGGAAAACATCTTTTGCTTTAAATCCATTGTTGTAATTAAAAAGGATCTTGTTTCTCAATTCGGATATTGCTTTTTGATATTTATGACTAAATTTGATATTTTTTAATTATTTATAGAAAAGGACAATATAAATTAACGGGCGGGCAGTTCATAATTTAGTAAAATTTTGAATAAAATTAAAGGTTATCCCATTACATATACCCAATAAAATGACGAAAAATCAAACATGAACTAGCCTCACCCTATCTCAAAATAGTGATCAGACTTTGCTGAAAGGGATCTTTTTCAATTTTCTTTGGGTTGATTTGACCAGGGTTTTATCAAATCAAAAATATTTCATAGTTTAAACAAACTCTCGCCTATTTAGGTATTCTAAATATAACTAAAAAATTTGGCCCAAAACGAGTCTAATTTAATACTTTATTCTAATAATTCATTTTTACCCATTTTTAGACATCTCAGCAACAGCATTTATAAATTCAAGTGGAAAATTAGGA